CGGGGGGGGGGGGGGGGGCCTCCCCTCGACCCCAGGCACAGAGGAGCCATGGGACGCTCAGGCTCCCAGCTCAATATCAGGGGTTCAGGACACACACACACCCAACGGGCCGTTTCTGAGTTGTCGCACCTAAAAAAATACTTTGTTTAAAAAAAATCTGAAAACTAAGAAAAAAATCCCAAAACACAAGCCAATGACTTTGGGCTGATGCACCACGACTGTAAACTTCCAGAAATATAAAATGGGGCAGGAGCCAGCTTCCTCGACAGAGACAGTGGTCGGCACAGGACAGCTGCAGGTACGGGGGGGGGGGGGGGGGGCCCCAGCCAAGCTCCTTCCTGCCACCCCACTCTGGGCACACTCCGGAGGTCCCCAAGCCTACCCTCTACACGATCCCCTCAGGCCCTCAGCATCCCTGGGACCCAACACCTGGCAGCAAGGGCTACAGGTGTCCCTGGGGCAAGACTCAGCCAGCCCCTGACCTGGGCCAGGGAGTCCCCAGAGGACCCTGGGAAGGGACACCCAACCAGCAGGAGGGCAGGTGGCTGCACGAGTCGTGGTACCAGCAGAACAGGACCATGGTCATCACTTGCAGAGAACAAAGGAGCTTCTGAAGGCGGCTTGCAGGGAGGGCCCCCCTTGCACAGGGGGTCTCAGGATGTGCTTCCGTGGTGGGCGTGTGCAAGGGGACCCCCGGACACAGTCAGTCCAGACCAAACTCCCCTGGTCACCCAGGAGCCCGGCCAGCTACGCCTTCTGAGACTGTGGCCCCAAGATGGTTCAACAGAAAGCCTACTCAGCACTGGTCTAAATAATAAGGTGGCTGGAAACAAAAATGCGGGCTGGCACTTTTGGCTTCCGCTTGCACATGAAGACTCTCCTGCCCGCGGCAAAAACCAAACCCAGCCTGAAGATGCCGAAGACCGTGGATGGCCAACGCCCCCTCCCCACCACTACAACTTTCGGCAGGAGATAACTTGATAAACCAAGAAGAAAACATTCTTAAGATCCTTTTTCCTCTCCAAAACCAGTCAGCCAGAAACCCACTCCCCAGCTGTCCGCAGCCCCCCTCCCAGGCCTCCCAGGTGCTGGTCTTGGAGAGCTGAGCCCTTCCTGGACCAGGCAGTGCCGGGGTCCAGGCCATCCGTGGGTGCCTGGCTCTGGCTGGTAGAGGAAAAGGGTGGAGGCCTGGGAAGGAGCAAAAACAGAAGAGGGCAGAGGGAAGCTTGCTGGGGAGCAAGGGCTGGCAGGGGAAGGACCGCCTGCCCTCGGAGTGAGGCAGTGGGGACAACACAGACCCCCGTCCCCTACCACGTGCCCCCTGACCTGACATTCAGGACCCATCCACTGTGCTCCCCACCAGGCCAGCCAGTCTGGCAGGCTGACTGCCTGCTTGAGAGGGCAGTCACAGGGCCCCGTGTCGGGGACTCCTGGCGGTCACGCTGCCCGTGGCCTGAGCCGGAACCTCTGCAGGGGGCCACGGGTCGGAGGACCACGCATGTACACATGGCACCGGACAAACC